GTTGACCGTGGCCTCGGATGGTTACCTTTGCCCATCATGAGAGGCAGGTTACCCTCCTCACCTTCAGAGGTGACCCCACAGGATGTGTTTTGGAGGGCGGGTTGGGGGAGGGGTCAAGGGCCAGGAAAAAGGTCACTGACTTGGAAATAGGAATCTCGGCGATGCAGGATCCTAGGACAGGACCTGCCTTAGTGCTGGTTTGGGATAAAAGGGGACGAGGAAGGGAGGATGGAGCCGGGGCAGCTCCAGAGTCGATCCAGAGAAGAGGATGAGGAGAGCACTTGCAGCCCCAAGGGGAGAAGCTGGGCCGTGATGGTCCTATTTCACTCCCACATCCTTTCTAGACAGAAGACAGAGTCCCTCTGATGAGGGTGGAGCCGGAGAGACACTGCTCCGGGCTCAGAGCTGCGGAGCCGCCTGGCGGGAGGAGGGACTGCTTTAGGGCCAGGCCCCAGAGTGGGTCCCACCACCGTCAGGCTTCAGGTCTGGGAGAGAACAAACTTGAAACAAAGGAAGCCTTTGTAACAACCCCGTGGTGCCAAGACCTAGAGATTTCAGGTTAAGTCTTCGTCAAAAGAAGAAGCAGGAGGTGGCTGGAGTGGCTGTGACCCATGCTGTCTGAGCCCAAGGCCCTGGCTGCCTCCCCTCCAGGTCCTCCAGGGTGGCTGCTGGGTATGCCGGTCGCGTGCTGCCCTCTGCTGGCCGGTCTGTGGCCTCGGGAGGCTGAGGAGCAATGGGAGGGGCAGGGCGGGCAGTGTATGGGGGAACAGCTCTGCCCCCAGCACCTTTGCTCTGGGGAAGGAAACAGAAGAGGAGCCACAGGGTCTCCCAGGAGCTGTAGGTAAAAGGGAGAGCCAAGGCCTAAAGTCCGCGAGGCGGGGATGTGGGATCTATGAGTTTGCAGGGCAGAGCCCTGGCCAGTGCGGGGAGAAAGTGAGGGTGGCCCAGGAGGCGCAGGTGTAAACCAGAGACACCACTTGAGGGGAGGGGGCAGGCCAGGCCTGGGGGTCCCTCTCCCAGGAAAGGGCATGGAGGAGAGGGAAGGAGGGGCTATGATTCCAGTCCCCCATGGCCCTGACACTGGGAAATTCAGTCAGAGCAGGAACCCGGCCATGTGGGGCAAGTATGAAAGCACCCGGGGAAAGGAAGGAGGGAGTCCCACAGTGAGAATGGACAGCCCAGGACTCATGTCACTCCGAGCTGTTCCAGAGGATGGGAGGACGGACGCGGAGAAAACAACAAACCCACACTTTTTATATGAGGTTTCATATTTAATTTGGTCATGGATTCATAAATACATGAATATTTTGTACTTAATGGCTTTCCTTGTATTGTTATTGATATTTCCAACAAACTTCAAAGGTGCACTTTTCACTGGAGAGAAGCATGAAAAAATACCCAATCACTAAGGAAATACTGAGTGCCTATTAAGTGCGAGGTGCTATGTGAACTGGACATAAAACAAAATGACAACTTCATGGTCTCATGACCTTTTAAATAAATAAACAGGACAACCAGGCAACTAAGAAAGAGACAACCAAGCTGGAACCTGACTGAAAAAAAAGTCATTCACAGCATCTGACGACGCGAGGGCAGAGCGTCCCTCACAGTACAGCAAAGGCAGGAAGTACCTGCTGGCCTGTCTCATAGCACCAAGGATGAAATTACGGGTGCAGTTCATGTTTACAGACTAATAAAGGCCTGAATAAATAACCAAATAGGAGGAGGGAGAAGGGAGAGAGCCTTGTTAATGCTAAGTTATCAAATATTAGCACCGTCCACTTCTCTTCGAGACCAGGGCAGACAGCGGGAGCAGAACCCTGACCCCTGACGTTCAGCCCCAGAGCCAGCTTGGGCTGGACGTCACCAGTATGACTGGAAGTGGCACATGACCTAGAAGGTACCTGGCACATCTCCCACCCTCCTCACACACATCCAAAGATGAGGGAAAGGAGACCCAGGCATGGATGCCCAGGTCGGGAACAGCTGACACAGGGCCGCACCACTTCTCACTTGTTAAAATCCATCTATAAATATTCAAACACAACAATCACATGGAAGAGTGGTCCCTGTAGAGCAGGGGTGGGGAACCTTTTTCTGCCAAGGGCCATGTGGATATTTATAACATCATTCGTGAGCCATACAAAATTATCAACTTAAAAATTAGCCTGCTATATTTGATCATTTAACTAAGCTCCCTGCTTCTCTTTGGTGAGGTGTGTGATGTATTTGGTGAGGTGTGTAGCTGGTATTGATGTTACTACTCGCAACTGCTTTTTCAGGTTTCCGTCGGTCAGTCTGGAGTGCAGTTGACTCTGGGCGATGGTAAGTTTTGAAAAGAACTGTTACAGGATTCCAGGGCAGAGGAATAGGGAAACTGAGACAGGAAAGTTAAAACAAGGCCAAACAGTGTGGGCAATTTGCAGCTTGTAACTAACAAACCATTATCTTCCCCAGCCAAGGACAGGAGAGCAAATGGTTAAAAAACCTTCCCTAACCAGAGAATGCAGAAAGGGAGGGGGGAAGAGGAAAGAAAAAAGGGCAGTTTTACTCCCTGAGCGGAGAAGCCAGCAGTCTCAAGGCTGGGCAAGATCAAGTTGTCAGGTGCTGCTCATGAATTCTGGGAAGGCCCCGACAAAGTGAAAAGGGGCCTTGGGAATGAATCTGCACCGAAATAGTCACCAGAGGAATTCTGGGGGGGGGGGGGGGGGGGGGGGGGGGTGTATACGACGCCTCAGACCCCCACCCAACCGGCTCTTCAGATTGGCTGAGGCCCATCTGTGCTTCATTGATTTTATCCAGATGCATTCGGTCTCCCAACTCATCGAGTTTAGCATGTTTTTTGCTTTGGTTTTTTAGAGAGTGGAGAGAGAGAAACATCGATGTGAGAGACACACATTGGTTGCTGCTCCCACACTGGCCTTGACCAGGGTCAGGGATGGAGCCTGCAACCGAGGTATGTGCCCTTGACTGGAATCAAACTGGGACCCTTCAATCCGAGGGCCGACCCTCTATCCGCTAAGCCAAACAAGCTAGGGTGAGTTTAGCATGTTTTGAGCTATAATGACGCTTCAGATTGGCTGTCATTACTGCTAACGCACACGAGTTTGCCTTTTACTTCAATAACAAAAAATAATGGTTTGTCCGTTTCTCTTGGAAAGATTGACACTCTGCATTAACTTTTCTTTTCTTTGTAGTCGCCATTTGTAGGGTGTCACACCCTTAAGTTTTAATAACTATCCAGTGGATGTGTCACCAGCAACGCAATTATTTTGCTTTGATCGTTCTAATCTTGCATCTTGGATTTGAAACATATCCAACATTTGTATCATCGGCTCTAGAGGTCTTTTCTTTGTACCGTAATGTCCTTAATATTTACCTGATATTCAGGTTTTTTGAGAATTGTTGATCGTGGACGTGTGGATAAAGGGTGGATTGGAGTTATCATATGTCAGCAAAGAAGTCGACAACATCGTTGTCAATTATTGGAGGCAAGGTCATCCACGTCACGAGGAATCATCTCATCGCACCTCGTCTCATCATCACGGGATCGCAGTAGTTTTGCCACAGTGTGTTAACACTTTCACAGCCTGTACACTCCCAGGCAGCCCGGAGCTGCCTGTCCTCGGAGTCACCTCAATACCGGCAGGTGGGCCACGGGCAGCTGACGAGGAGCATACATGTCTGTCCTGTCATGTAATGGTTCTGTCGGCCTTACAGGGCCCGAGGGCCAGACATTCCCCACCCCTGCGGTAAAAGTGGCCGGTCCTCTAATGCTGGACAAGCTCAAACTGCACCTGAGGGAGCTGGAACTCACTAGCATCACCCCCAGAGGTGCAGTGATTCCTTTGCAATTTTGTTAACTTCTCTCATTTAGGTAACACATGCGATCTACCTACTAAATACATTTCCAAAAAGTTTTTCATAAACATACAAATATATACAGGGTGGGGCAAAAATAAGTTTGCAGAAAATAATCTATATATATAAAAGCCAAGCTACTGGAACGACCAGTTGTTATGGCACGCACTGCGGCAGCCAACCAGCCTGATCGGGGCCCTGATTGGCACCTCTCAACCGACCGTGGCCCCTTCCCCGCCCCCCAGCCTGGACCATTGGGGTGGGCAGCTGGACCCCACCCATGCACGAATTCGTGCACTGGGCCTCTAGTACAATAATAAACAATAATAATACAAGAACGAACTTTCAACTATAAAAATAAAAAGAGCCCTATCATAGTTAGACATAAATACCTGGACACATAACAACACAGATGGATTATACAAAACATTAAATAACAAGTAAAAAGTAGAAGTCTATTAGAATAAAAAAGTGCCAGGCCTGGCTGGTGTGGCTCAGAGGTTGAGCATTGGCCTATGAACCAATTTGAAGAGAAATTTCTCCAAGCTTATTGACTTCAGAGAGGAAGGGAGAGGGAGAGGGATAGAAACATCAATGGTACGAGGGAATCATCAAGCAGCTGCCTCCCACACAGCCCCTGCTGGGGATCCAGCCCGCAATCTGGGCATGTGCTCTGGCAGGGAATAGGACCACGACTTCTGATTCACAGGTTGATGCTCAACCACTGAGCCGCACTGGCCAGGCATGTAGTGTCCAGTCTTATTTCCCTTTTAGGAGAAAAGGTAAACTAGGAAAGCTCTGGTCTCCAAAAGAGATTCTTTTCACTGGGAAACAGCAGAACCTGCTTCACCCACTTCATAGACATACTTTCTGGACTCCAGCAGGAAGTCCTGCATCTCCTCCTTTGCTTTTGTTTCCCCCAGTTTGTCCAAGCTGTCCAGTAGGGTGTTGACTGAGGCAGCCTTCCCCTTGGTGTTGAGCCAGATGGTCAGCATGTGATACAAGGCATCCCGCGGGTCCAACGCTTGTGCTTTGGCCATGAAGATATCATTTTCTTTGAGGCCCACCAACCTCATGAACGGCTCCCAGCGAGTAAAGGGCACGATCCTTGAGAAGTCATAGAAGAACTCCCTCAGGGCTAGATGGGGGAAAGCCACAGAGACAGTCAGGTGAGGTGGAGGAAACCCTGCAAAAAGGGCAGATGTAGACCTAGCCAGTTTGGCTTGGTTAGAGTGTCGGCCCACAAAGTGAAGGGTCTTGGGTGCGATTACAGTCAAGGACACGTACCTCGGTTGCAGGCTTAATCCCAGGCCCTGGTCAGGGTCCATGTGGGAGGCAGCCAATTGATAGTCTCTCTCACATCAATGTTTCTCTCTCTCTGTCTTTCCCCTTCCTTCCATCTCTCTAAAATCAATGGGAAAAATATCCTCGGATGAGGATTAACAACAAAAAGGGCAGATGTATACTGGAGCGCCCCCTGGTGGTTACCTGCTGCTCGTCATCCCTTACCTGCTTCCCATCAGCATACAGTACTAGAATCAGGCCAGTCTGGGCCTCGCTTGTGCCCATGGCACTTCGGAGAGTCAAGATCAACAGAGAATTCTGCTTTAAGGGAAGGCTGACAGCCACATGGGAGGGGAGATGGACGTCATGGATCGAGCGAGCGAGGAGTATGTGGTAGGAGACAGAGAGTGGGACAGACTGTAGTGCAACAGGCCCTCAGAGGAGGGAGCCTGCACTTATCCTGAGCGTAAGGTCCGGGGCTGCCACATCTGCACCTGTGCACAGCCCGAGGGCCTGGAGGGGGACGATCTCTGGCTCCACACCCAGCTTGGCCTCACCCACCAAACTGGCAGAGTGAGACGGGCACAAACAGACTCTGAGCAAGAATTTAACCCGGAAGCAGAGCAAACCCCACCCATTTCATGGGATTGTACTGAGGATTCAATGAGACGTGTGTGGAATGCACTGCACACCACTGACCCACAGAAATATAAGGTGAGCCAGGACCACTTATTTATAGTTTTCTAATAGCCGAATTGAAGAAGATAAAAAGGAACAGGCAATATTCATTTTAACACTATCTGGTACTAATTCAATACTTACAAAATATTATATTTACAGGCAATCAATAAACAAAAAATTACCAATGGAATATTTTATATTCCTTTTTTGTATTTAAAATCTGATCTGTAGTTTATCATTACAGCTCTTTAAATTTGGCCTAGCCAGAGATCAGGTGCTTGGGAGTCTCCTGGGCTGGTGGTGGCCTGCTGGACAGCACCAGCCCCTTAGGTGCCCTCAGTGTGGTGAGCCCGGCCCTGAGCAGCCAGGGAAGGGGGAAGGTGGTGGAGAGAAGGACAGGGCAGAACAGAACATTGTTGTGACGGATGGGATGGTGTGCAGTGGGAGGAGGGGGGTGGAGGGAGAGAGGAGGGGAGGGGATTTACTGTCCTAACGGTCCAGTGACCATCAGCCTAGGCCCCCGGTTTCCAGCGTCCCTGGCTCTGTACTGCCCTAACAGCTATGCGGACAACAGTTAGGACACTGCTCCACTGCCCCCAACAAATCACTCACTTTCTATGGGGTTCTCGTTGTTCGCTGGAACCAGCAGCTTCCTTCTCATCTGAGACCCGTCTGTGCCTGTCGGTCCCTGTAAAATAGAGTGGAAAACCTCCTGGGTTCAAGTCGGGAGTCCTGGATTCCAGAAGTGAACCTGACCATCAGCCAGCTGTGTGACCTGGGGCAGCCACCTCCCTCCCAGTCTCTATCGAGACCAAGAGGAACCTCCCTGCTGTGCCTCTCAGACTGTGTCCTTGTGTGCTCATGGAGGCCCACGTTTCCTAGAGTAATGCTCACTCCCTGTCAGTTCCAGCTCTGACAACTGGACACACCTGAGTAGCCATCACCCAATCAAGACATGGAACATTCTCACCGCCCTGCACAGCTGCCTCCTGCCCTTTCTAGTCCATTCCCACCCACCCCATCAGGAGACAATCACTCCCTCCCAGGCATGTATGTGACTCAAATAAAGAATATATATGAGGGCACTTTGCAAAATCTAAGTAAGACTTCTTCCACAAAGCTGGAGGTGCACTGATCACTAATACTGTACCACACTGATAATCTAAATAAGGAAATGAAACTATTAGATTGTCTCCATGGAGACTGAAAAGGCATTTTGTAAAATTAAACATGAATTCTGACTTTTTAAAAACACCTCAAAAATAGGGGGCTGCATCCATAATGATAAGATTTTCTATATGAAAACAAGAGTCAACATCATTCCTTTAGGTGAAGTATTGAAGGCCTTCCCAATGAAATCCAGTCAAGATCGAATGCGCACCTTCTCTAAGCACCTGTGAACATTGTCAGTTCTGGAAACAAAGGAGGCAGGACTTGTGGAAAGGGCAGAAACAATCATTATTTTAGACATGATTATAAATTTTTAAAACCCTAAGGTATAAGCTACAATACTTAAAAATAAATGTGTCCCGCTGGCGTGGCTCAGTGGTTGAGCATCGACCTATGAACCAGGAGGTCACAGTTTGATGCCCAGTCATGACAGATGCCCAGATTGCAGGCTCAATCCCCAATGGAGGGCTTGCAGGAGGCAGCCGATCAATGATTCTCTCTCATCATTGATGTTTCTATCTCTCCCTCTCCTTTCCTCTCTGAAATATAAATAAATAAATAATCCAATGATTAAATATTTTTAAAAAGATGCTGTTGTTAATAATTTAAAATAAATAAATAAATAAATAAATAAATAAATACATGCATATCTTGGTGAATGTTAATAAACATACTAGAAACAATAAATTAGAAAACAGAATTACAACGGGGTCCAACCAGTAAGGGTCGCAAAACACATAAAATACAAAGAAACAGCTTTTAGTAGAAACAGGAATTAATCGGAAGAAAAACACAAATCTTAACTGAGTCATAATACAACTCCTGATCTGAAATGCTATCTTCCTTGATAAGAAAAATATTGAATGTTGAAAGATCTCAATTCTTCTTGGATTAAGGTAAGGTAATATATTTAAAAAATGTTCCAATGACTTTTGTGGAGGTGGGGTGGAGAAAATCTTATAAATAATTCTAAATTTTATATGCATAGAAATAATATATTTTGGCAAGGTATGTGCACTCTCAGTTATTAAAAAGTTTCATTTGGTAGAGTATTGTATATAGATGGCATATGCACAAAGATTTCAGCAAAGAATTCTCTCGCCAGTCGGAGAAAGATAAATATCACATGATCTCACTCATTTGTGGAATATAATGAACAACATAAGCTGATGAACAAAAATAAATCCAGAGACTTAGAAGCTCAAACAGACCGTCCAACCTCAGAGG